GCTTTGTTATCACATTGGATTACTTTCTGGGTTTATTTCTCAGTTACGTGATAATTATACACACACACATTACCATGTGTGGGGCCTTACAGTGGATAAATAATTTATGGATTTGGCTGTGAGGCGGCATGAGAACTTGTATCAGTTTCAGCCTCAGAGAATGCGAATCAGGCGTCCAGCCTCTCCAAACGCAAGGCAGTGTGCTGCTCAACAAGCTGAAGGCTGAGGCAGTCGGCGTCTGCACCAGTAGGAGGCCCGAGTACTCTGCCCTTTGCTTTCCTTGTGAAAAGAATGACACATAGGTGAGCATTTGCTTCACGGTGATTATGGGGCAAGTGCATCTATTCAAGTGCAATTTCAAAATTGCCTCTCTGAGTGCAACTATAAAGTAATAAAATAGAAACACTTCCTTTTCTTCCAAGTGAGTGCCAATTCTTTTCATTGAAGAAATCGCTTTGCTAGCAGGAGTGCTTGTTACAGAGACGTTTTGCTGTGACTGCTCCAAGCACTGCAAGAGTTTCTCTCTTAGAAGCGCCTTCAGAGGTGAGGGTAGAGGTGGCCAGCAGGTTATGAGTGCCTCCTCTGTGCAGGGCTGGGCGCTGGCTACCTGCAGACCCATTGGTGTATTTAACTCTCAGCGTCTCGGGAAGGCAGGTGAGAGGTCTGACCCTCAGCGTATCTCTGAGATGTTCTGTGCTGTTACTTTATTGTCACCCACTGTTTCCTTTCTCCGTAAGTGTACGCACAGGGTTTAGCTCCTAAGACTTATGCTTATTTTCAAAAATCGCATCTCGATTTTTGAGGGAGATAAGGATCACGAAAGTGAACAAGTCCGGAACAGGATCATTTTCGGGGTGCTAGTGCCTTGGGGGAAAGGGTGAGGTGGGTTAGAGAGTAGCCAGGTGGGCTGCAGGTGTGCTGCTCTAGGTGGATGGTAGAAGGCCACTGGCAGGAAGGGGCTTTGTGTCTGAGGCCTGTGCAGGGAGAAAGAGCTGGTCATGGGAAGAGCCCGGGGAAGAGAGTGCCAGGCGGAGGAGCAGCTGGTGCGAGTGCCCTGGGGTGGGAGCAAGCACGGCTGGGTTCCTGTGCGCCCCTAGGACATCGAGGCCTCAGGCGCCTGAGGAGTCATCCCCCCGTACATCTGTCTGTATCACTGCCCTGGGTCCTCTGGCTGCCGGCTCTCACATAGTGCCTCTGTCGGCACGGGGTTTCCCCAGCAGTCCCTCCCTGTCTTTTCTGCCTGTTCAGGTGCCCAGACTTGTCAGGACTGTGCATGAAGTAAAAGGCAGAAGTGCCCTCGTCCCAGCTGGAGTGCGTTTCTAGGTTAATGTCTCTGTTCTTTAGTGGTGGAGAAAATGTGACGTTCTTGTCTTGCAAAACACCATTCTGTTATTAGAGATAAGCGTATTCTCCTTGATTTATTTATTAATTCATCCTCCCTGTCTCTGTCTCTCTCTCTCTCTCTCTCTCTCACACACACACACACACACACACACACACACACACACACACACTCTATTTTGAATTGTTCAGCCATTGTAACATACCTTTAATGAGCTGAGAGATCTAAGCCACTTCTCTCTTAGCCCTTGTTGAAGTTCACGTACGCAGCATTTCGAAGACTGTCACTGCAGGTGTTGCTTGTCTGGCGGCTGAGGGGATGGCGCTTTGCTGCATATTTAGACATTTGCCGCATGTTTAGACACGCGAGGGAGTCCTGTCTGACTGAGTGACAGTGTCCCCGGGCTCTCTTACACGCGGAGCCCTTCCAAGCGCATTTTCCTTGGCTGCTTCTGCCAGTGGCCAAAAACCAGGGTGTAGAAAGAGACGTGTCGCTCAGCCTTAAGTGTGACTGGAGCTGTCAAAGGCGGATGTTTCTAATCTTTGAAAGTAAGTGTGTGAACTTGACACCCTATTAGTTTATAGATGAGTTGGTAAAAATGCAACATAAATTCTGAGACTGTTCCCAGGAAAAAAAAAGGAGGGTAGCAGATAGCTCATAAAACGTCTCATGAAATGTCACGGCCGAGCTCTTCCACAGCCCTTTGTCATTGGCAGTCAGTAGCTCTTAACGGCGTGTGGACACTGGTGCCCATTCATCAAGTCCCCTTAGACCCATCCTGGTGTGACCGTCCCTCCCCGGAGCTGAACTGACAGGCTCTTCTCTTCCAGAAGTAGATCTTCTCCTTTCCCAAAACTAATTAAGGGACTGTTCAGGGGAGACGTGGGCGTGCCTTCTAGATAAAGGACGTGGTTGGAACGCAGAGGTGGGGTCTCTTTCTCTTACTTGGTGGGTGACACTTGGCTACCTTACTGCTCCTTCTCGAAGGCCCAGGGCTTTTCAGCAGGAAACTGTGCCCCCCCCCCCGCAACAATGTATCTATAAAAAAGAAGTGATGACCTTAGAGTTATTTTTAAATGTTTTGCCACAAAAGCAGGCCACCAAAGGATGGGTTTGACCTCTCAAATCTGTGCTCATTCACACATTTGCATTTCTTTCTTTCCCTCCCACACCCCTGGCAACCTCAGGGTCTCGTAATTTTTTAGCCCGAATTTGTCTACGGGACTCTCTTTTGTCCCAATCATCGCAGGTGCCAGCGCCACACAGGGCCGGGTTGTGGTCAGGAGCTCCGTTCAGTTGTCGGGTCACAGCCCTGCCACACCGGGAAGGTCACACTTTCGAAGCCAGTTTCCTCATCTCAGCAAATGAACTGGGTCGTAGTTCTTGTTTCAGAGGGTGTGAGAATTGAGAAAACCTAGGTAAATCCTGGCACCCTTGATGGTTAACAATAAGCATTTGTTAAAATGTTGTTGTCATTCCTCTTTTTTCCTGAAGTACCAATCTCGGATCTTTGAAATAACTTCAGCTTGGTCTCTTCCCTGAAACCGTCTCGTGAACTACGGTTTGCTTCAATGTGACACGCGGGATCTCTACTGTGCTGTGACATGATTTGATCAGCAGTTACATAGTTAGGGATTCATAGCCATCTCTAGGGTGTCTTCTGTTCATGGTTAGTGATCCTGGTTATCCATTTATGGTAGCTCTTTATGTGTGTGTACATAAACAAGATGAGTGAATTTAAATAAAAATAAAAATTAAATAGAGGTACAGGTAGGACGCAGATGTGACGTAATGTGGAAACAGTGTTAGACTTACAGTTTGAAAACAGGTTTCTATGCCAGCACCCTGTTAGATTTGGCATTTGGTGATTAGTGTGAAGTGTGGCCTGAGCGCTTTTCTGGGTCTGTGACTTTGGGTGAGGTAGTAAATCGTTACCTTCGTCCTTCCCTCCGTACAAATATTTACTGAAGTCATCCCACCCTGTTTCCTTATCTGAAAACACAGGGGTTTTGTGAAGATGCAGTGTAAAGAGAAAAGACAAGGAAAGGGTATATTTTTATCTGCTTCGTATGTCTTCTGTACCAAGCCTGTGCCTGGTGTGGTACGTGCTCACTCAGCAAACTTTAGTCGGGGTTACAAATGATAGAATCCCAGCTTCAGCTGGCTTAGCACCATGCACCCGTGGCTGTTGTCTCATGTACTCAGTCTGAAGGAAGGTTAGCGGTGACATATGCCTTGAGGACAGCTGGAGGCAAGGACGCAGATGCCACCAGGACCCTGTCCACACCTTGCCTCTGGTAATGTCATTCTGCCTAGTCCGGTTCTCTCACACATCTGGAAAAGTGACCACTGCTGGGCCGCGGGCCCGTCTGGCCAGATGGACGCTGCATGTTGTGACGTCTCTCCCTAAGCCCAGAAGTCCTAGGAAGGAGCTTGAGCCCAGTGTGGGTCATGTGCCCACCTGGCCAACCACTGGTGTCCAGAGAACAGGAGACAGAAGGGGTGCAGCACCTGATTGAGCCACGTGTTTACAGTGGCAGTAAAGACCATTTTGCAGGAGAAGGGGGGACCCGATGCCGTATCATTCACCCCTTTCAACTCCGTGTGCGACCATCAGGGAGAGGAGTACTTAACCTCAGGGGGCTTCGGTCTTCTCCTCTGAAGCTTCGAAGTTGAGATGATGTAATGGTCATGTGTGCACGTTTACTGTTTTTAAGTTTGACATACACAGGCTTGTTGTTACTGTTGCTGTTACGGCTCGTGCCTCCCTAACCCTGACGCGGCGTCCAGGGGTTTCCAGCGTGTGCATCTCTGGCAGGCAGAGAGGGGTGCCGTGTGTGTGCATCTGTATCGAATACAGCCTTTTTTAAAACTTGGTTTTGAGTGGGATGTACGTTACGCAAGACAGTGTACAGTTTTCACAAGAGGAACGAATGCCGTTGTGTACTTATCACCTGGATTAGGGACAGCGGTGACAAGCCCCTGCACCCCTCCCCGCCACTTAGAACACTAGGGGACTGATGTCGTGATTGATCGTGTCATTTGAAGTCCAGTTCCAGCATCATGGTAGCGTTTTCCATGCTGTGCTTTTTTAATAAGTGGAATTTTAAAATGCAACTGTCACTATGTCGTAAATTTTTTTTAACTCTACAAGAGATCCTCAGATTTAGAAGTGTTATGAAAAGCTCTTCTGGCCCCTCCTACTTTTAACAAACCCAAAGTATTTTCTTTCTGGTTGAAATCACCCTCCTATGATAAGACGAGCTTTGTTCCTGGGTCTGTGTCATTTGGTTGTGGAGCTTGCCCTTCCTTCCTCCACTCGAAAAGCCTCCTAGAGAAGGAGGTGGCCGTCTCAGGATTTCTAGGGTGTCTTGTATTTATTTTCTCTCCTGTGTGTAGCTTAGGATGGTAACTGGCCGGTGACCACATTATCTACCTCCCTCAACACCGAGCTTTGTGGAATGACTGCCTTTATCCCGAAAACACAACCAGTCAGCCCATGGTGCTTCCAGCCTCTGAAACCGTTTATTGTTGATAAAGACGTCCGTTCGCCCCTACTGCGGTACTTGGCAGAACCAATGTAGTTCCAAGTGAATACTTATTTTTTAACTTACTGAGTTTTTCAGCATCTTTTTCCCCTTCTGTTTTTCTCTTTTAGGCACTAGACCAAGATAGAACAGCCTTACAGAAGGTGAAGAAGTCTGTAAAAGCAATATACAATTCTGGTCAAGGTGAGTACCTGACGAAGCAGACAACGTGAACTATGTACGATGTCTCCAGTTTTCTCTGTTATTTTGTAAGATGCTAAGTTTATAAGACTTGATCCCAATGGAAAAACCAGTAGGTCAAAGAAATTCAGTTTTTCTTTTTTCCTCTGTCAGTCCAACCCTGTTACTGTTTCCAAAGTAACAAGAAAACGTTAGTTGCAACGGGTTGTATAATTATATATTAAGAACCTAGTAGATGGGGAATCACTTTGTAAGTTACATAAATGTCTAACCACTACACTGTACACCTGAAACGAATATAATACTGAATATCAACTCTCATTGAAAAACTTTTTTTTAACTCAAATACTTGGTAGAATTATAGGTGATTTTGCCACAAGCGATGTATGAGATATTTAAAATATCTGTGTAAGCTGGTCAGCCTGTAATTCAATGGCCTCAGTTAAACACATGAGGACCTTTTCTTTCTAGAATATACCTGTCGGGGGGTGGAAATGGGAGGGAGGTGGGGAGCAAGGGACGGGGGAGGCTGGGATGGGAAAAATAGACAAAAAACTGTACTTGAAAAATAACTAAATAAAATTTAAAAAAAAAAGGAAAATCAAGGTTGCTGGCAGGCCTGGGTGAGAGCTACAGGGAAAGGGGGCAAGCAACACGGAACAGAGACCTGGGCGGACGAGCCAGCCTGGGACAGGCCAGGTCACCAAACAGTTTCACTTTGGTCCAGTGACTCTATCCTTTTGTAAACAAAGTATATTGTCCTGGATAAGAAGTAAACTAAGGTAAGATAAACAGCAGGGAACCACTCCTAGGTTCCAGCGCCCCAGGGAAGGAGAGGCTTGCAAAGGGAAAAGGAGTTTCAAGGTCCTGCTCACACCTTTTGTCATCATTGCAGTGCCAGCTCCTGTCCCCAGAGGTCAGGTCTCTTGAGAAATCGTTAGTCTATAAAGTAGCAAACCCGTGGGGAAGGCTGCAGGACCTAAAAGGAAGGGGCACAGGCTTCAAAGGGGCAGATGGGGGTTTGCCTTCTCGCCCTGCCCTGTACGGTTTCTTCACTGTTTTGAACGTTCATTTTCTCCCCTGTGAAAATGGGTCGTTGAAGGGACTTAATGAGTTACTGTCTGCAGAGAGCCTACCACCTCTTGAGAGCGTAGCAAGCGCCATGCGTTTGTATTTTATTTGTATTTATCTTCATGATGGCCATAAAAGTATAGCGTTGAAAGGAACTTGGAGAAAAGCAAAACTCTACCCTCCGTACTTTCTGGCCTTCCTGCCCTTAGCAGAGCTGGCAGTCCCGGCCTCTCTGAGTGGCAAGCGGAATAGTCTCTCGCTTTCTTTAAAGCCCCGAGGCCTACAACACTCTGTAATCGGAATCGTTAACACTTTTTGTACGCTGGTTCCTTGATACCTCTCTCTCATTTCTTTACATCCAATAAAACACTAACTTCTAATTAAAGTAGACAAATGATAGTTGTCTAGTTACATAGTGAGCAAGTGCTGTTCTAAGTCTTGGCCTAAATTATACACCTAATTCGTAGCCTCTGTCTCATTGGTTTCCATGAGCTCCTGCAGCGCTGGAGGCCCTGGCTGGATGTCCGCTGTCTGGGGGGGGAGTGCAGTGGAACCAGGAGGTGACACGGGGCTCCTGTGGGGCTGGCATTACTCTGTTTCTGGGTTCGGGGGATGCTTACGTGGGTCTGTTCACTCTGATAGTTTATTAAATGCTGCACGTAGGATTTACATACCTTTTTATATGTATGTTTGTGCATTATTCACTAATAAAAGTCTGTTTAAAGTTGATATACAGGTAGGCTCACCGAAGCATTTATGATTTGGAAAAACAGACAATAAATGGGGATTTGTTGAGTAAACAATAGCATATTATATAATAGAATACTCTACAGCCTTGATAAAAAAAAAAAAGGCAGTGTAGACCTGAGTTTGAATCCTAGCTTTGCCACCACTTATAAAGCCAGTAAGTTATTTAACTTCTGTGACTCTTAACTTGCCTCGCTGTAAAATGAGAAAATAGAAACTGAGTTGCAGAGCATTGTCTGGACAAAATGAAGTCATAATGAAGGCCTGTGATGAGCTGCCTGCCACCCAGTACATGCTCGCCACCCAGGGGCTGGGGGGAGGGGCGGCTGAGGCAACAGCATGACTTCCTTCTCTGTATTAAGTCTATTGTTCTACAAACAACATGGGGCCAGTCTGGTGTTATGAAGAGCTTCCTGAGCCATTATCGGGCTCAGGAATCAGTGTCATTTCTCTGTGATGCTATGGCGTGTGCTCCAGGCTCTCAGCCTGTGAGCCTCGGACGGGAGACCCTGCAGGGGCTCCATGGGGCTGCTTTTATTACAAGTGTCCCTGCTCAGGACACATTTCCTCCCTTTGCCACACAGCCACATCTCTCAGCAGCTCACACAAGGCTCTTTTACTTGGGGGGGGTGCATTACCTGTCCTTTAAACAGGTTTCCTTGGTCACAGCTATCCTGGATGTGGCTGCAGGGGGAGGTTGTGCCCGGGTGTGTGCAAGGTGGAGAGTTCTGGGGCTGGGTGCACAGCTTGGCTGCCATTACCCCCACCAGACTGTTCTCTCCTTGGGGGGCCACTGCTAAGTGAGCTTCGGCCACCTCCCACCCTGCCCCTGGATCAATTCTCCTGTGTCCTGCCCCTGGGTCTGTGCTATTGGATATTCTGGTCACCTATGGTGGCATTTCACATTTAAATGCATTAGAATAAAAAATTAAAATTCAGGTCCTCACTCTCAGTAGCCACCTGCCGTGTGCTCAGTAGCCACGGGTGACCGGCTCTACGGTGTTGGGCCGTGCAGACACAGGGCATTTCCACCATCCCAGAAGGTCTGTTGCTGCTTTAGGGGGACGCATATCCCAGCTGCAATTCTCGACCAGTCTCCCTTGCTTCAGACCAGTGAATCTCAACCCTGGCTGTGCTTTAGAATCACCTGAAAAACTCTGAAAACACAAAGTGGGGATCCCTCAGGCCCACACATCTGGAATTGTTCCACAGTAGGGCCTAGGTGTTGGGATTACAATGAAATTCCTCCCCGGTGATTTGCATGTGCAGCTGGAACAGAGGACTGTTTCACTGGCCTATCAGCACCCAATGAGGACCGGTCCATGTCTTTCGTCTTTGTACTTTGTGTGTTTGTCAACATAGTTTGTTAGTTTGTTTGACAGATGCGTGCTGAGCACCTGTCACCTGCTCCTGTTCTGGATGTTGGGTACATTGGACATCGGACGGAATCGGTGCCTTCGTGAACTTCACAGTCCACTGGGAGGGAAATGTTAATCAGGCCATCAAACTGCAAAGTACTTAGAATTGGGAAATGGGAAGGAGAGCTGACAGGTACAGAGGGAAATGGCCAGAGGGACTGATGTAGCTGGAGGGGAGGGTACTAAGGGGAGTACCTCTCGGAGGACAGCGGGTTCGCCCGGGCGTGATGCTGTACTAAGTTACGCCAGGCAAGTCTATGAGGGAGCCCTCCATTACCCCCATTTTATAGATGACGGGGCAGAAGCCTAAAGAGCCAGACCAGCTCCGGCAGGCGCCGTACCAGCAAGGAACACAGCGAGAGCCTAGCGGACTCCTGCTTTGCTGTTCTCAGGGGCTCCGTGCCTGTCTTCCATCTCACACATGTCAGGGGCTCAACCAGTGTGGACTGAATTGCCCCTTGTTGGCTGGCTAGGTCCCTGAGAAGCTCTCCGTGAATGGCTGTTACATACTCACGAATTGTGATTATTCACGAACAAATGGAGCACAATGTAACCTCCCAGCAATGTGATCCTCGGGATGACTTTGGTTGCCAACGACTGTAACACACCGGGTTTTTGGTCAGCTGTGTGGGCAGTACTATGACATTTGATTCTTAAGAAATAGCTAGATGAGTAAAACAGTGATGCTGCAATCTTTCCATGAGACATGCTCGGTGGAATCCTGGCCGTTCCCGTCCAAGGGGTTTTGGCCTCGTCCAAAGAAGCCACAAGAGGCCGAACCCTGATATCTGTTTCCCAATGTGTTTTCATGATTTTCTTGTTTTCTCACAGTACTTAACTGACATGAAACCCAGCTGACGTTCCTTAAAGATTTAAGAAGCATTTCTATCTTTCTGGTCTGAAATGACCAACCCTTCATCTCCCCCACTCCCACCCCCTCCCTTGGATGATTTGAAAGATAGTAGAGACCAGCAGGGACACTTACTCCTAAAATATCTTCTTGTTGTTACACATGAGCTCTAGCAGCATTAATTAGTAACAGTGCAATCGCAGAAATTTTATTACAAAAACAAATTATCTCCATGGAAGTCCTGTAGTTTGAAAATGGCTTTGGGAATTTGTCTTTCTCTTACTGTCCCTGCTGTGTAGGAGGACACTTAAAAAAACAAAACTGAATTCTGTGAACTGCTTGGACCAAGGGGACGTTTCCCAAGCCTTTTGGTTTTTCTCTGTTGTTTCTAAGTTTTGAAGGCTTAGAAACTTGGATTAATCTGAGAAATAGATTGTCATTTAGAAACTCTGCCTGCAGTACGGGTCCTTCCACACCCCCCCCCCCGACTCCCTCCCTCTCTTCCCTAGCACATGCTTTAATAAGCCAGTCATTTCTTGAACACTGTAGAGGTTTTTAAATAAGTTGCAGTCTTTGACACTTTTTTTCCCAAAAGATAAAGTGTAATTCTCTTCCCCTTGAATGCTTGCCAGACTTCTAACTCCGACTAATGAACAGAATGACACCGTGCGATTTCCAAGGCCACTTTAAAAAAGACAGAGCTTCCACCTGGGTGCCACCCACCTCTGTGCCCCCCACCTCTGTCACTGTTTTGGGGGAGCCAGCCACCATGTTGTAAGGACACCCAAGCAGCCCTGTGGAGAGAGGTCTCCTGGCAGCTTCAGCCAACCTTCAGGTGACTGCAGCCCTGGCTGACATCTTGCCCTCAATCTTCGTGTGAGACCTCAGGTCGCAGCAATAGGAACGGGACTGGCCAG